TAAAACGACAAAAGATGTTTAGAATGCAGATTTTTAAGGCCAAGTAAAACTCTGTTATCTCAAAGTTCTAGAAGCAAAATCATGAAAGATTTTTCCGTGGTAGAGTTCGACTAGTTGAAAACGTCATTTTTATTTGCTTGATTAATTTCTTGCAATATCTAGGGCAATGTTAAGGGAACTCAAAAGAAAATGCCATGCGAATTCTGATGATAATTTCAAGAAATGCATGGGAGGAACTGAAAGGTCCAAGGAATAATTTGATTGAAATACAAGAATAAAGTAATGAAATTGGGTTGTTAGCGGAATGCTAAATAAAACAGCAAAAGGGTTTATCTTCCATTTAATTCCACTTAATTAATTTTGGTATCCATGACAGATACGTATTTCGACTACAATGTGCAGTCTTCATCAGTGTCATTCCCACTAAAGAACTTATCAAAATCTAACCCCCTTAAGTACTCATCCCCTAGGTAAAAAAGTCAAGATCATAGGTATAAAAATGAAACTACAATGTGTTGAATCGGAACCTACCTAACTAATAAAAACCAAAGATTTAAGTAAGCTAAAGGAGAAAAATCTATACAAATCTCTAATAAGGAAAATCCCCAAAGGCTTGGTAGCCATCAAAACAGCAAAAGGGTTTATAAAACAGCCATAAAACAGCAAAAGGGTTTATCTTCCATTTAATTCCACTTAATTAATTTTGGTATCCATGACAGATACGTATTTCGACTACAATGTAGTCGAAATACGTATCTGTCATGGATACCAAAATTAATTAAGTGGAATTAAATGGAAGATAAACCCTTTTGCTGTTTTATTTAGCATTCCGCTAACAACCCAATTTCATTACTTTATTATGATGGCTACCAAGCCTTTGGGGATTTTCCTTATTAGAGATTTGTATAGATTTTTCTCCTTTAGCTTACTTAAATCTTTGGTTTTTATTAGTTAGGTAGGTTCCGATTCAACACATTGTAGTTTCATTTTTATACCTATGATCTTGACTTTTTTACCTAGGGGATGAGTACTTAAGGGGGTTAGATTTTGATAAGTTCTTTAGTGGGAATGACACTGATGAAGACTGCACATTGTAGTCGAAATACGTATCTGTCATGGATACCAAAATTAATTAAGTGGAATTAAATGGAAGATAAACCCTTTTGCTGAAATACAAGATTTTAAACCCGTAGTGAAAACCAAATTTAATAAAAATTATTGGGAAATAAAATGCAGGGATATCCTTCGATGTAACCTAACTGTTACTTTTTATTTCCATCGCCGATTTCTCACAAACGATCATTCAAACAAGCAAAGTAATATCACCATCGGACAGATAACATAATCCCCCATTTATTGGTAATATTAGTTTGTCTGATTCAATTGTTATCAGGGAGATATTGACGATGAAAGTCAAAAGTGACAGTTACGTTATATCGAGGTATACCTGTACAATAGAGTGATGCAAAATTTGAAATTTTCGCTCCACAATACTTAAACGATCCCAAATCGGATTCTGACTAACCTCTCAAAATTTGAAGCCATTTGGTGGGAAACTGAGATGGCACAAACCATTTGAAGTTTGTATGGAAATTACTATGGTAAAACCAAGATTTTTGTTCATGTCTATCTAATAATTCACCATATCGGTCTGCTTCAAAAGCTTGCAACTGTAGGAAATTTTCCCAGCTACAACTTTGCTCAAGACCACTTTTTGATTAAATGCAAGGATCGAAAGTTATCAATGGTTCAATGCGCTGATGTCTTATGATCATGCTCAATCAACTGCTCAGCAGGCAGCATTGGTGTTTCTGGGGCGTTGAATACGACACAAAAATCATGGCTACTATGTCACACTGCAAAATAAAGTGTTGCCTACAGAGCAGCGGCTTGATCATGTCATAAGTTAACCAAATTAATGAATAACTTTTTCCTGTCTCGTTTTACATAGAAACGATTTTCAGCAAAGTTGTAGCTGAGAAAATTTTCGATAAGAATGGCTATTGAACTGTTTTGCAGCTCAATATGGAAAAAGAATAGAAGGCAATGAACATAAAGTTGAGATTTTCCATAGTAATTTACATGTAAACTTCAAATGGCTTGTGCGAAGTCTATTTCTAACCAAATGAGTTGTAGCTTTGGGAGGCTAATCAGGACCCGATTTGAAACCATTTAAGCACTGTGGAGCGAAAAAGTCAAATTTTGCATCAGTCTACTGTACAAGCATTTTTCTAATTCTCTCCCATACTTCACCGTGAATTTTTTTTGAAACCATCATCATTCTGATAGTTCTTATGTTCGCCACGAGGAGTAACTTTTGATTGCGAATATACAAAGAAAATAGATCATAAATGATGTGCATCGACTTCATGAATCTGTTTGGACATAATTCGTTGCTAGGACATTGTTCTAGTCGTGCTTGATCTATTTGACAATTTGATCCCAGGACGATTTGGAGAACCCACAACATATATGTTGTTTGTGTGAAAATGTCTACTAAATGTATGCCTACCCTATTAGCTCTAATGATCTACACAACAACAAACAGGTGGAACTAGTAGTGAAATCAATGCATAGTCTTCTGTTGTATTGTTCTATTGTATCTCTATCCACTATCAATAAATCGTTAGTTCGCATGCCCTCGCCGCTGCAAGATGGTCAATCCATCGGTCAATCGGTCTGTTTAATTTCAATTATATCTGTAAACACAACGTAGGATAAAGGTCTGCCCGCGTGCGATCAGTTATACATATAAATTCAAGACCAACAATTGAAATGGCCTTAACTCCATTTTGTAAACAAACCTTGTAAGGCCATTTTCTCGCGAACTGAAACCTTCATTCGCAAACCTAAACCACAATCGGGTAGAGGAGAATTTCCCCCACCTGTTCATTATGTTGGTTTGCCTTTGCGGACTTCGGTTCGCGAGAAAATGGCCTTACAAGGTTTGTTTACAAAATGGAGTTAAGGCCATTTCAATTGTTGGTATTGAATTGATCGTAAATGATGCACATAGACTCTCTAAATGGTCATATTTTACTGCTAGGGACATTTTCCTAATCTTGGTTAATTTAGTATATCGAATGATCTGAACTCCAGGACCATTTGAAGACCTTCAACATCTTGTAGCCCATAAATGGTGATTTGAGACTTTATGAATTTCTATGTTCCGTTGCTGAGCACATCGTATAAGCGTTGAATGATCTAAAGTCTAGAATAATAAAAAAAAACTTAGAATATGTTTTGGCCATTGGAATCGATCTCGAATGATACGAACCTTGGTAATATGATCATGATAGGACATTAGAATGGACCAACATTACAACCCCATGCTCTTTCGAAGCGTATTGAGGTCCACAACTGTGTACAATTTTAATGAATTTCGTTATGATCTGGATTTGGATTTGCGAAAGAATTATTAATTTAGTATGCAAAAATGTATGGGAAATGACACGAAACTAATCATTTGCTTGTCAAAACATCAAAATAAAGTTCAATTATGACCAAATCTCGGACTAAGATTGGATACTGCGTGGACCATAGTGAGCTAGTTTGGAATTTTGACGCACAAATGATTAGTTTCGAGTCATTTATTATACATTTGTCCATACGAAATTACAAATTCTCCCGTGAATCCAGATTCCAGATGCACATCAAAAGAGCAGTGGGGAGTAGGAGGTTGTGATCCACCATATAAACATGACCCACAATTGGGCATGCACTATAGAGAGTACTTAGGTGCTTTTAGCGACATAGGTAATAATTAGCACTACATTTAGAATGGTCTAAGGCAATAAAAAAAATTCGGCGACATTTTGCTATTTTCTATCGAAAGGTTTCTTAGAGAAAAAATCAGGTAACTCAGTATAAAATACTGTTTTTATGAAAGAAAGTTGAAATTCATCCTAATTTCCTCCATACAATTCCAAATAACAAATAATTTAAAAGAAAAGAAAATGATTTACGTTTCCATCGGTTTTTAAAAATCAAGCCAAAATTATTCAAGATTCAGATGATTTACATTCGATTGATTGGTTGTAGATCCAACAGTCGATGTGAATTGAATAACAATCAGCATACATAGATGAGGAAATATTCGTTCCATCCCGGGATTAATCCCTCTTTGATTAGATGATAAAATCAGTGACGTCCGGTAACCTCACTTTTTACCTGTGCAAAACCAGATTTAATGTCATATTCATTCTAGAATCGGTGGAAAAAAAACACTTAATCTTCTAGTTTACTCGATATCTAGCCATTAATTGTTTATGTTTTGAGAGCTAGTGCACAGGTAGATTGAGGTTAAGGAAACGCCACTGAATAAAATCATTCCTATTTTCTATGCCTCTCACGCCAAAGCTCACGAGTTCCAATATCATCCTCGGACAAGCCACGAATAACCTAACAATGTGATAAAGTGTTATATTAATAATAATAATTTTTAATAACAACTTATTTCTGATGCATACATCTTGAGTGCGAGATTCTCTTCATAGAATTTATCTACTGTCAATAACTTGGCCTCATCAACAGTTCTCGGTGCGTTTGCTAGCCTTTTATAACAAAATACATATCAGTGATAACATTTCAAAGGGGCAAATTGGTTTTGTAAACAATGGCTTTATCCGTCAATATCTCGCAAATAAAAGCTCACTCCTCAAAATAAACAATACTAGTTCCTCTATCAACATTTCTCTACCAGTTGGTGTCGTTAATCTTCATGAGTGAGCTTTTACTCGCGAGAAATCGACGGCTAAAGCCATTGTTTGCAAATGCAATTACGCCACTTTGAAATATTGGCACTGATATGTTCACATAATTTAGTAATTAAAGAGAAAACCGGAAAACAGGAATCGCTCATCGCACTTAGGTCCTAGTGAATCTGAACGCTAAGTAAAATTATCATTTTTGAGAAATCTTTAATGGATTTGTGGAAAGTCCCATCCCATGGTTAACAAATGTAAGTCTTAATTTTTGTTTGCTGCACAACCGGTACTAACCTTCCGCCGGCTTTCCTCTCCTGGCACTGGTGGTCTGGGTCCACTGCACGTAACGTCATCAAATTTGTATGAAGAATACTGACTCATCGAGAAAAAGCTTGCGGTTTTGCTTTGTAGTTCATATATCAACCGTGCGGAAGACGTGTAGATTCGTTAGCAAGCACTTATAGCTTTTTTATTTCGAAAATTTGATTATCGCCGCCGTGTTTTCAATGCGGGAGCACACTTCGTTTGAATGGCTGCTTGTCCGATATGATGGATTGAACAACACTTCTGTGGTTTTCTTTATTTTTGTGTATGAAAGCAACAACGAGCTTTTTACCATATCCAACGTCTGTTCGACGTGTGTGTTCCGGGAAATTGCACCCGGTGATTTGCGGTTAGAAGTTATCTGAAATTGGAAAGAACAAACATTGTTAGTGCGGTAATTATCTATCTGGGAGGCGGTTGAAATGATTGATAATGTTTACAAGTTGCGAAAATCAAGCATGTGCTGTAAAGGCTTAACAAATACTCATTCCTAATGAAAATGCTCTTTCGTCCCTATTCAACCGTCAATCTGGATCGTGTTCTGCCGTTCCGCATATTCCACGCTTGAATTCATTTTTCTACCATATTCCCTTCGATGCATTGTTCTCCTGTTTAAATGGAAGGATCAAACAGCCATCAACATAATTATTGCTGCCATGAAGGACGAGTAGATTTGTGTGCAGCCCTCGTGAAGTATTAATCACCGTGAGGAGGTACATTCTGCGCATTCTTTTTCCCCGAGTTTACATCGAATGCATTCGTAAAATCTCCTCTAAGGATATTCGAGCGGAAATCAAGAGGACCCTCAAGCAACATCATTATCAGACCATAGAAACGTTTCCCTGCTCTCTATTGCATAGGGGTGGTGGTAGAAGCCTCTGCCATTTCAGAGAAAAATACATCAACAACTGACAAAAGAGAGGGTCTCCTTGCGTCATTCATTCACGTTTCTTCACATTTGTCCCCACACAACTCGGGAGTCGTACTGCAAAATGTGTTTGTACACGCCTCGCGCAATTGGCCCGTCGGTACTGGATCGTCGGAACATTCATTGGTTGGAAGGAAAATGGCGACCGGGACTTTCTTTCCATTGGTGACATTTTTTTTAGCTCCTTTTAAAGATTTGTTTGAGACAGCCATGATTGACGATCTTGTGGCTCACACTATGCAATCCAATGCAACACATGAATAATCGTAAATCATGACGCAGGACGTGTTTCAAACAAATCTTTGGAAGATGTACGAAGGGATGGTGCATTTACGTAGACTAACTGGCATCTTTATAAGGGTAAATATGACACAAGTGTCACTTTTCAAATAGACCAATGTATCATATCCACCATTTTGAGAAAATCGAAGTTGAAGTTCGACAGGTTATTATTTTAATTGCTTATAAACAATATATTTTGCAATACTATTTTTAATGTAGTCAGTGAATAATAAATCACGGCCAACTATCCAGATCAAAATTTTCTCAAATATACACCGTGAACTATGGTTCACGGCTGTGGTTCACGAATATGGGAACTCTTTTTTTTTCCCGTGTAGAAAAAACCACATAGGACGTTTTGACTAGTTAAGTTGTGCATCGGACATGTTACATTGGACGATTTTTCTCAATGACTTAATGAATGAGTGTTACATTGGATGAATAATAAATCACGGCCAACTATCCAGAACAAAATTTTCTCAAATATACACCGTGAACTATGGTTCACGGCTGTGGTTCACGAATATGGGAACTCTTTTTTTTTTCCGTGTAGAAAAAAACACATAGGACGTTTTGACTAGTCAAGTTGTACATCGGACATGTTACATTGTACGATTTTTCTCAATGAGTGTTACATTGGACGTTTTCTTTTACATGATACTAGATCCCCTTTCACAGATTTCAAAGTAGAATACCTAAATTTAGATTGGCCCCGCCTTTAGAAAATGAGCACCAATCATGTTAGGCAGTTCAAATGACCGAAGTAACAATCATGTACCCATCATTTCAAACTGTACATTGGACAATTTTTGACTTATGATTATTTTAAATAAATTTGGTTGGGTGTTTTTGTATCACATACAATGATAGAAAGAGCAATAGTTTGTATCGCTCTCGATTTGTTAACATTTGTTACTTAGGACCTTTTGAAAAGTGACGCGAGACATGTTTTAAAATATTCATGGTAAAAGTATTTAGATGATTTTTAGCAGTAGTTTGAGGTGTTAAATCAGTTCTTCCCCGCATCAGTAATTTGTATTTTGTTGAATTCTCATGAGACTCTCAAACATGTCTTAGCAGTGTGACAATACAACAAAAGCTCAAATTAAATTTCGTGAGTTTTCCAGGTTTTTCAGGTACCTACAGACAAATTTACTAAATAGTTAAATTTTATGTTGGTTTCCGATTAAACCATTCCTAAAAATACATAAACTGTACATACAATAGAAAGATGGCTGTATTTAAAATATTGATTCAGGTTCAGTGCTTTAACCTCAATCTACCTGTGCAACAATTCTCAATACGTAAGCAGACCATACAATATTGTAAAAAATATGTGCATTTTGCAATTAACATATTCAGGTACAACAACTATTATAAATCAGGTTGGTACACAGGCAAAAAGTGAGATTATGCGAGATAAAATACAGTCAACTCTCTCTCTCTCTCTCTTACACGATAATTTTCAAAGTCTCTTTAATTGTACAATCATGCTCTCTCCCTAGCTTGATGTTTCCCTAACTCGATTGCTTCTTTGCTCGATATGTATTCATGAATTTCCCCTCCCTAACGCGACTTAGTATATTTTTTTCTGTTAAATAAAAGTCGTAGTAGCAATATTGATCAGCAAGGGAATTGATTATACGCGCCTCAGGCGGTGGTACTACCAACTAAGAACAATTCATATGTAGCGCTTCTGAGTTCGTTGATGATGATGTTCAAATCAAAGGAACTTTAAAAACATGATAACTTGTGGTAATATTGAGTACCCATGACCCATCGGCCACATCAGAACATGTTCCTGGGGCTTCGGGGAAATGGTCTGTACCTTTAATTTATATCATGAGATACATCAAACAGATTATATTGAATGCTTAGTGCGGATGCTGGGTTATTAAACCGAATGGTCAGTAGGCCGAATGGTAATTAGACTGAATATTATACTGCATGGCCATTAGGCCGAATTCCAGAAAACTATTTCTTAACACTTGCGAAGAAAATTTGCTGGTTTGAAAAGAGAGTAAGCAGCAAATTATAGAAGGATAGATAAGGCTATTCTATATTAACGGCGCCGGTGGTGTAGTGGTAAGCGTGATTACCTCTCACCCCAGCAGGCCTGGGTTCAATCCCAGTCGGCGCCGCCGGGATGTTCTGAGGCATAACATCTCTGATCACGCCTTCCTTCGGATGGGAAGTAAAGCTGTTGGTCCCTGGTTCATGAGTTGATGGGTCGATAGGTAGGGTCCAGGTGTGGGAGCTGCCTTCCTGGCACGTCGGTAGCATTGGTGCTCAGCACGGAAAACAAGATCGACGGAAAAAAACAAACCAAAGGAAAAAAAAAGATAAGGCTATTCCATATTGGACTCTAATCCAGATGAATAAAACTTATACATAAATTAGGGGTGTCCTGGAAAACCAAGAATCCATAGGGAATTTAATTTTTCCTGGAAAAACCTGGAATTCGCAGGGAATTTCATAATTACTCAAGGAATTTTCAAATTCTCTCACTAAGGATTTTTTTAAAGAATATAATACATTTTATTATGCAAACATTAAATTTTCCTCGATATTTTATTTCACTCATTGAAATTAATACATCCTGAGCAGATTTATCTTTAGTAACAAAATAAATTTTAAAAATTCAGAAGCTTGCATTGTTTTTTTTTCTGGTTCTGGAGTATGGATGTTTTTTTTACAAATTGTAGATTTGACATTTTTTTTAATTCTGGACTTAAACCAGTGGCGTCACCCTAACCTCAAATTACCTGTTCAATAACTCTCAAAACGTAAGCAAACCATATAATATTGATTCCAATGGATACAAATCATTGACACCAGAAGACCCTATGCCTTTTGAGGCTAAGTTGTCCTTGCCCGCTTTCTACTCTCAAAAAACAATTTTCACACTGCCGTACTCAAACGGAACTATCAACTCTATACTTTCATCGCCTCATCTATTGTACAAAAATTACCACTTTAGTCTGTTATTTGAAATTAGTAACTTCAACTATGTAAATCGTAGCAACAGAAAACAGAAGTAATACAAACACAATAGTTTGAGTATAAAAATAACATATTTTTTTTTAAATTTATAGGAATATCTAAAGTTAATTCCTAAGGAAATCTGAAACGGACTCCAAGGAAATTCAAAGAAAAATCCCAAAGGAATTCTTAGGATAATTTCAAGAAATTTCGTTGAGAAAAAGAATCCGAATCATAATGGAATTGCCAGCATGTTTCCGTGACAATGTTTTGAGAATTCAAAGAAGAGTTCCAAGCGCATTCTGAGGAGCATTTCAAATAATTTCTGGAAGTCCTGAGCAGAACTAAAAATGAATGTCTAGTAAAAATCCATATGAATTTTTGGAGAATACAAAGTGAATGCTGAGGAGAACTCCTAGTGAAATTTTCGGAGAAATCTCCGGAGGATTCCCAGGTAATACTGAATGAAATATTGATAATTTGAAGAGCATTGCAGATTAACTAGATTAGTGTTATGCGGATGTCAAGCTTTCCACTACTACGAAGGCAAGCAAACGTTTCATCGATCAGCTGATCGTTTGAACAGATACTCGATCTGCGCTGAGTCTATCTGATATCTAGAAAGGGTAACAGAACGGGATGGAATCACAAATTGTTCAGCATAGACAATTAATACCAGCTACCATTATCCTAAACCACCTACGTTGATTACGTTGAGATGAATACAAACACAGGTGTTTGAAGGAACGTTTTCACGGATGAGCATGGTATGGATCCCTAAATCCAATTCGATAGGTGTCAGACGCAAGGGTATTTGATCACCACGACAAGGTTTGAGTACACAGGGTACTCAGCTCCAATATCCAAGCAGGCACAAGGGTGTTTGCTACCTATTCCACGGTTTGGGCAAATCGGTGCCCATTACCAATTCCAAGGCTACGACACGATGGTGTCTATTCGCCAATCCAAGGATTGAGTACAAAGAGTGCTCAAATTCCCATCGCTAAGACACAAGGGTGTTCTAGCAAACTCCAAGGGTCGAGCACAAAGGGAGTTCGAACGAATTCCAAAGCCAGGACAAAGGGATGTGCTCTAGCCATTCCACGGTTTGTACACAGGGGTACAAGGGCACTCAAAGCCAATCCCCAAAGACAGGGCACACAGGATGC